GTGTCCCGACCCCCCTCGACCCCCTGTTCCTCGTTTCATCGAACTACCCGCGGCCGGTTTCATCGTCGGGGGGACGGAGAAGAACGCCGCCTTCCTCTTTGTCGCTCGCGCACGAACGGCACGCATGCATTTATAAAAAAGGATATTCAGTTTTCGTTTGCTCGTGCCCCGAGCTTCTTCTCCAGCCGTCCGGTCGTTCCCGCTTCGAAACCGGAAGTGAAAGAAGATCGGACGTCCGCGCGGAACGAACGATGAAAACGGCCCCACACGATCCCTCGTGAATCCTCGAGCGAGAACGCGTTACGTTCATGTTTTTCGTTTCGCAACGATGCGACGGACAGGCAGAAGACAAGAACGCTCGCGCGAGAGTTTCTGTAAATTATTGATGACGACGATTGTGTATGTTAATTTATAAATTATGTTGTGTTTACGAATCGTGCCAGAATGGAACAAAAATATAATTTTTCAACGAACCACGCCGCCTTCTGATTTTTTTTCTCTCTCTTTATTTTTCTCTGTGTCTTTCTCTCTATTTTTCTCTCTCTCTCCCTCTCTCTCTCTCTCTCTCTCTCTCTCTTTATTTTTCTCTGTGTCTTTCTCTCTATTTCTCTCTCTCTCTATTTCTCTCTCTCTCTCTCTTTCTCTATTTCTCTCTCTCTATTTCTCTCTCTCTCTCTGTTTCTCTCTCTCTTCCTCTTTCTCTCTGTTTTTCTCTCTCTCTCCCTCTCTCTCTCTCTCTCTGCTTCCACAGTTCACCGTGCCTCCATCCGCCCCCGCATCTTCGCTTTCTTTGGCCTCCATAATTTCGTTTCTCACGCGATTGTATCCGTTCGATCGTTTGTTAATTATATATATATATGGTGCCTTCGTCTTCGTGAAGCTTCGAGAATCGCGACGAACTGGAATACATATCATTTTAAGGCTGAAGATTCGGATAAGGTAACACACACACACACACACACACACACACACACACACGAGGGTAGAATATTTTTCCATGTCCGATGTAACTCTCTGTCGAAGGAGCTTCTTTACACTCTCGAATATATGGGAAATATGTACTGTGTTTATGTCTGCGACCAGTGTTGTGCAAAGCAAATCGTCGGTCGTCTCGTGTCATCTGGCTGACCGAAGCTACCGTAAACAATCAAATTTGATAGTTAATCCCGGTGAAAGAATTTTCTCGTTCGAACGGTAACGTTTTCTCCTCGAAGACTTACCTCGGATTTACGGATCACGATCGCCGCCGCGTCGCTTTACATTGGCCCCAGTTCCGGTCAGCCATGCTATATAGTTTCCGTGTCGAATACAATATACGAAAAGAAGAAAATTGAAATTCAACGGTCGAATGAAGATTAATCATCGATTCGGTTTAATTCCGCGACAATAAAATCGAGATCGTATTATCCGCGTGATGCACAACACTGCCCGAGAATCACTCGTCTATGATTGTAAATCTACACGGCCTTTTTTTGGATGGAAAAAGGCTCGAACAGATCTTGTAATGTCCCCTTTGTACCCGTTTCTACAATTACGAGTTGATAATCTTTATATCTGTACATCGAAAGACAAACCGAATCTGTATGTTGCTGCACACTTATGATGGAAATATATATACACATTAATTGTTTTTACAATTGACTGTGATACCTGAGAACGCTTACTGTTTTACGTCGTCGTTGTCCGCACGAATTCTGTTTGTACTATCAAACAACGTCTCTCTGTCGCGAGTCAAGCCGGTCAAGATCCCTACGAAGACGCGGCAGCCGCTGTGGGAGGAGGGCATTGTCATTAGCGAAGATGAAACGTAACCGTTGGCTTTGATCATGATTTACAAGAGCTAAATCATTCCAGATTCATAATCGTAAAATCGGACGGGAATAGATTTCCAAAGGAATATTTACAGCATCGGGGTCCTCGTCCTTTTATAGTTATGACGCTGTCATATTTTATATCACCGCTATAACCATAATCTTTAACTCCGCCGGGGAAAGGTTAATATCGCCGCATAGGTGGACGCGACACTGTTAATTAAGTACAAGTGCACGGCAGCACACCTCGGCCTCCGGGTAAACCGAACTACCTACGGTCTCTCTATCGAGCTCGCCGATGGCTTGTAATAAAGCGTCGATTAATTAGTGGAAACATGCCTCGAAATAACGTTCTTTTATGTGTCCGCGTCGATGGGACACGTTCGGACTACTTGAACCGCTACCTGGACAGAAGTCGCGAAGAAAAACTGTTCGAAACACGTGCTGTATGTTTAAACAAAGATCGAATCTTCCCCGCGTAAATCTTTTGTTTCGATTCACTGAAAGCGGCGAGCTACTTTGCTCGGTTCTCAAAATCTCATCTGGGACGCCACGGTAAGTTAATATTTACTACGTATTGGAGATATTTCACTGGTATTCGAAACTCGTCGTCAAAATTCGATAGATTTTCATTCTCGCCAATCGCAGAAAATACGTTGCACAATACCGCGTCGGTTTCAACGTGTTACAGTAGCCATAAGTTACGATAGTGTGGACATAAATTTAGCATCTATAAGATAGCGACCCTTAACGACGTTTAAACTAAGCGTGTTAACACTATGCCGTCCGCAGATCTTAGATACGGTTCTTTTGTTCGACGCCGGCATAATAGCTTGGAAATTTTAGATTTAAAAAAAAATGTCGAAGATGGCGATAATATAAATTCTTAAAATTAAGATATGTCATCCAAGAATTTTCGTACTTAATTCTTAGTTAAATAAGCGCGATGCTATAGTTGGTTTGCTGCCTTTTAACACCCAAGAGATATAGTTCAAGTGTTATTTCAGTTTTT